ATAAAATCGGAGTAGCGTCGGAATAGGTTAACAATCTGGACTGATTTAGTAGTAATATCATGTCAATATCACGATTAGGCTTTTCAGTATTTTTATTGGAATTACAACTACATATGTAATTGCACTAGTACACTAACACCTGCTCGTACTAGGATTACCAGTGACTGTATAAAATGGAAATTACATTGGTTTTAGTGTGTCCAGCGTTTTCAGTAGACTCAAAATAGCCAAGTCATGTCGTATTAGTCTATCCAGTTAAATTGAAATTAAGTATAATTTACTGAAATGTGGTGTCACAGTAATCGAATTCACAAATACTGAGATCAGAAAAATTATAAAATACCACTAATAAACAAATAAAATTAATTGCACAACTGTGCCAAAAGTCGTAGGATTGAAATTGAGATTCAAATCATATATACAATATACAAAATGCCAGTCACTATATACAATCATAATTTAAATCACTTTTTGGTGTGCCCTCACCTGTGTTCTCCTTCACTACAACTGATTCGTATTCTGAAGTAAACATATTGTACTAATCACCGCGGTAGCGTAATGTCGTCATGCTGACTTTTTGAAAAATTCACGAAGTTTTGTTTAGATCTCAGTTACTTAATCGATCAACTATGGATGGATTAGACATCAAGTTAGGACTGAATTCGGGATTGTATTCACCGAACTTAGGTTACAATAGAAAACATGCGGCCAACCCTTTAATAGTTCCAAGTTCGTAATCTAGTTGCCCACATAAGTCTTTTATTGACTTTATATGCTGTCTAAAATATTAACTTGAATATTACCACACGACACTTCTCTTATCCTTTCTAATCATACGTAATACCATCCATGTTTAAGGCGTGCAGCCATAATCATCAAGCAGATATTCATAGCCTGTTTATTGCTACTTCTAAACGGTAACACGAATTCTAACGCTAGCTTTTTCATGTCCCACTCTTATTAAACACCCTTTTAACATGTTTTGTACTGAAAGAAGACATGTCATTCTATGTCGTGACTCGACAACTTAGTTCACTAAGTGGGTTCGGGTGCGCCAACAGTGGACTCCTGAAAAGATACAAATTTATCTTTAAACTCAATTAAAACTTGTAGATATCGTATGCACTATCATGTTTATCTGAAACCTAATGTGATAACAGATAAACATATTGTCTGTAGTTTCCCGTCCCTTCTACGGTGTGGGCAGATCGGAAGTAACATCCGCCCTCGTACACGAGACTTAATTGGTCTCAACCAAATCCTTTCTGCGCCTCCTAATAACCCTCTTATCTGTTCGACCAACCCTTTCGATTGTTTGTCACCTCGCATCACTGAAGCAAACGGTTTGAGCTCACGAAACACTATTCCTGGTCTCTTGAAACCCCGTACCAAATTACATATTGGAGCTTTTAATCTCCGTACATTGTATCAAATAGGGCAACAGGCTTCCTTAGCTAGGACTTTCGGATCTCGCGTCATAGATGTATGCTGCATCTCCGAAACGCACATACAGGATTCTAATAAAATCATTAATTTGATTTCACCTTGTTGAAATAAAGAAGCAGCTCGATTTACTCTTCGTGTATCTGGAAGCCCTGATGCTGCTTCCTGTGGCCTCACTGGCGTAGGTCTAGTATTAAGTCATAGGGCAGAACTAGCTCTCTTAGATTGGGTCCCGGTAGACTGTCACTTATACGCTGTCCGACTAAACGGGACGGTACGGACTCGGAAAGATAGGAACACTCGCTGTTGCCTCTTCGTCGTATCTGCCTACGCTCCCACTGACCGCAGTTCAGATGAGGTGAAAGATTAGCTCTACAGAAAGCTTTCGAACTTCCAAAAAGCTAGGCACTGTGATATAGTAATAATGGCTGATGACTTTAATGCTCATGTAGGTAGGCTGAGTGAAAAGGAAGGACACCTGAGTGGATCTTATGGTGTCGCGTCTCAGAGGACCGGAAGTGGCGACCGTCTGTTGCAACTGTGCTGGGATAACCTCCTATTTTTAGCAAACCTTAACTTCAGGAATAAGGAAGAACATCTTTTGACTTGGTGACCCCAAAGCCGACCCAACTAGATCACATCGCTATAAGCCATCGGTGGAGAGGCTCTATTGAAGACTGCCGCTCATTCTGGAGCACTTGTTTAGACTCAGGCCATGCTGTATTGCCAGTGCGTATTTGTTTGCGTCTCACTGGACGTAAGAAAGACTGCTAGGAAACCTCTTAGGGTTCTACTTAATGATAATAAAGCTAAGAATATATTTCAGGGACAGCTAGAAAAACATTTAGGCAACCATGTAAATGATGCCCACGCTGAGGCAGCTTGGAATGACATCAGAAAAACTGTGGAAACAGCAGTCATATCTGCTAGCAAGGTAAACCATAAGGTTAGGGAGAGGCCGTGGATTTTTTAATAGCATCTACGGAACTGACGGATGCTCGAAAGCTCATCCCACCTGGCTCTGAGTGCGATGAGAAGCGGAGTCAGCTTAAGCGCAGGCTGATAAAAAGCCTACGTAATGATCATGAACAGTGGTGGGTAGCGAAAGCGAGAGATGGAAAAAGCAGAGGCGATAAGTAACAGTAGACAACTTTTCCGCCTTATCAAGGAAACCGGTATTAGGAACCCGAATGTGAGTGAGACTGTCTCGGGAAAGGATGGTCTTATTATTCATTCTTAATCCAGGTGAATGGATCGATGGGCAGAACAATTTAGGGATAGGTCCAATTGGCCTTCAGCCACACTTCGGTCTCCTACGATCTTGAGTCATCCTGAATGGGAAAGTCCTCCTAATCTCTATGAAGTTGAGAAAGATAGGAAATCTGAAGCAAGGAAGAGCAGCTGGTCCTCATAGATTGGACCCTGAGATTTTTAAGGATGGTGGTCCAGTTTTATCAGCTAGGTTGACTGAGATCTTAGGTAGAATCTGGGAACTGGGCATAGTCCCATCTGACTGGTCTTAATCGCTAATTGTCCCAATGTATGAGAAAGGATAAAAGTCCTCTTGTGGCAATCACAGAACAATCAGTCTAACTAATATAGTTTCTTAATTTTCACCCTCGATTATCCTTAGACATCTATGTAGAGCTCGTGAAGAGCAGACTAGAGAAAACCAGTCTGGTTTCAGACCTGGACGTGGCTGTATAGACCACATATTCACACTTCGTCAGGTTGTGGGACACAGACACACATTTAGACGTCCGACAATAGTTGTTTTCCTGGACCTTAAGGCGACATTTGACTGTGTGGATCGTGAGGTTGTATGGCAGTGTCTGTCATTGAGAGGTGTACCAGAGAAGCACATTAAACTTATACAAGCTCTCTACTCGAACACGACTGGTCGAGTAAGAGCTCATGGCGAACTGTCATCGGAATTGGTTACTTCAAGTGGTGCCCGTCAGGGCTGTCCACTCTCCTCATTCTAGTTTAACTGTATCGTAAATATGCTTTTAGAGTTAACATTATCGTCTTACTTTTCAGGAGTGAACCTTTTACCAGGAGGCTCGCTTATCGACTTAGAATATGCTGATGACATAGTTCTATTCGGTGAAGACGCTGACAAAATGCAGAGTCTTCTGACTGCCCCAAGCAACAATGCAAGCATTTTCGAGATGCAATTCACCTCGTCGAAATGCAGAATATTGCTTCAGGATTAGCTTGTATCGGCACCTGAACTAGTGATAGGGAGTGAAGCAGTTGAGCGTGTCGACCGCTTCACCTATCTTGGGAGTCTTATCAGTGCTGATGGCCTGGTGTATGACGAAATCTCAGCACGGATACAGAAGGTTTGATCGGCTTTTGCCAACGTGCGTCACTTATGGCGTAGGCGAGATATCCGTTTGCTGACTAAAGGACGAGTGTACTGTGCAGCAGTTCGCTCCGTCCTAATTTATGGTTGCGAAACATGGCCGGTAAGAGTAGAAGATATTCGTAGGTTACTAGTATTCGATTATAGATGTTTCTGAAGCATTGCTCGTGGTACAACCGAGTAAGCAATGCTGTTGTTAAGAGACGGGTACCAGATAAGGATGGCAGGTCAATAGATGAAGTATTGAAGCTTCATCAGTTGAAGTGGTTGGGACATGTGTTACGTATGCCTAACCACCTACCGCCTTGCCGAGCTATGTTTTACGATGTAGGAATAGATCGGAAGAAAGCTAGGAGAGGCCAAACCAAAACATGCAGAAATGCATGAAGTCGTTGACAAGTGGACTGAGTCATGTTGGTAGATGTAGGCTACCTGGTTGGGGTCCGCAAGACGAAAGTCACCGATGGTTAGAGACCTTGAATGATATGGCTCAAAATCGTTCGCAATGACTCAGGTGCATTCATTGATTGCGTTCTTTCAAATTCTGACCTTCTGAATTACTCATCATCTCTATCTTTCTCTTTGGAAAGTTATCTCACTAAATTATTCTTCTTGAACAATATCTTCGAACCCTAATCTGTCCGATTACTGCTAATACTTTCACTACCTCTACTACTATGAGATTTGAACTGAAAATTGTGTCTCTATGTTAATATGGTATGGCAACCTGAAATTAAGTACTCATGTGGGAAGTTCTACATTGCTGTTGATTGATTGTTTGTAATTTATCGTATCAAGTATGTCGTAGTCAGTTACATGAAGTTTATGAAAATCAGTGTTAATCTAAATATCTGTATAGTTTGTATTCGTATTGTTTTGGTTTCAGTTTATAATAGATCCATATGAAGTGTCACTTGCAAATATACTTTTTCGACAAATGTTACCGGGAAACACGTTTTACTTTGTTATTTTGTTAGTTAATCACTGACATTGCAGTTCATTTTTACTATAAAAAGAACATAATACCTATACACTGTGGTTTGTGTTATCTGGCTGTCTTATTTTAATGGAGCACTAACAATTCACTTTGTTCGAATAGTTATACCAGTTATTTTACCCAACACTAGGAGTCTAAAAATTTCAGTCATCTAACATATGCTATGGAACAATGAAATGTTAATTTTGCATAATGTTTGAAAAGAAAGAAAGGATTGTTAACGTCGACCAAAAGTTATGTAAGTGTATGTTGTATTTAATTAATCATTCTCTACATATATAATCCAATGTATTACTGTTTCGTAAGCATATGCTCACATCATATATTCGAATTGCTTCGATAATATGATGAGACGGAGTTAATCTACAGATTGTGTCGGGTTCGTGACCACACTCTTCAAGGCATGTATCTAGGAAAACTTAAGATCAGATGTTCGGGACGTATTACATAGAAGCAATACATCATTGAGATCGCCTCCATCTCATCAGATTCAAAATCCATTAACTGGAATAATCGTTTTAAAAAGTATTGAATTTCTTTTGGCATTTTTTGAGCAGCGTGTATATCGCCAGAAACTAGCATATGAGCCCTAAGTACGAAATGACCCAGAATATATAGCTTTACTTACTTACGCCGGTTACTTTTAATAAAGCATTAGCCGCCGACCAGCATTCACCAGCCTACTTTGTCTTCGGCCTTCGTCTTCCGTTCTATCCAATTGCTGTTCATTCTTTTCATATCACCCTAACCCTTCCCGGTGTAATGTATTCTTTGGTCTTTCGCTTTTGTTTTGGCCCTGAGGGTTCCAAGTTCAGGTTTGTCCTGAACTTATGTACATACATATGAAGTTCTACGTTGCAACTGACTGACTGACTGACTGAAGGCTTGTCCTGTGACGCAGTTGGGTACCTTCCTCAATGTGCGTCCTATCCACCTCCAGTGCTTCTTCCTGACCTCTTCCTCTAATGGGATCTTGTTTTTTCTCTCCCACAGTAGGTTGTTGTTGATGGTGCCTGGCCAGCGGATCCGAAGTATTTTGCGTAGACAATTGTTAATAAACACTTGTATATTCCGGATGTTGACTTTCGTAGTTCTCCAAGTCTCCGCCTCATACAGTGGAGCTTTCTTGACATTTGAATTGAAAATTCTGATTTTGGTGTTGGTTGATAGTTGTTTTGGGTTCCATATATCCTTCAACTGTAGGAATGCAGTCCTTGTTTTTTGCTGATTGGCGCCTTCATATCTGCACCTGATCCATCTTGCTCATGAATGAGGCTGCTTGGATATGTAAGGGTTTTACGTCTACCGAAGCTTCTCCGTCAAGCGTGATTTGGTTGTTGCATGTTGTGTTGTATCGGATAATCTTGCTTTACCCTTTGTGTATGTTGATACCCACTGCTGTTGAGGCTGCTGCTACATTGGCTCATATTCCACAAAAAACATACTTTCACGTTGTGGGCAGCCGGAAGGTGACATGCACCCTCATACCCGTAAAGGCCCGCGAGACCAAACCGGTCACAAACAAATTCTTCATACAACCCTTAAGATCTCTCTTATCTCCACGATTAACTCTTCTTACATTCCTTTATCGCCCTGTACCGCTAATGCAAACGATGCGAGTTCTTGAATCGTTATTACTGGTCTCCTGAAATTTCGAACTACTGAAATATCTGCTTTAAAGTTCACCAGTCTGTGGGATTGCTTTTTATTAGAGTTATTTTAGTAAAGTAGCGGTAGGGTTTTTTAAGCGTTCAACTTGTTCCCAGCAAAATCATGTTATAAACTTAATTTTGTAATTAGTGGATATAATGTAGCATCCAACATGTTCTCATGTGCTAGGACAAAATCATATGATTGATAATCAAATATATCAATGAAGTATAAAGTTTGTTATAACTTTTCATTATTTCAGCTTTCCAAGCTGCTGTGATAATTCAGTGTTGGTATAGAAAGTGCAAAGCGAGATTGGAAGTTCGTCGCAAATGTGCGTGGCAAGTAAATCAATCATTAGAGTATGTGATGGATGAAAGTGAATCTGATGGGGTTAGTAGAAATTTATTCCTGTTATTCATGTTTGATGCCATATTAAATGATGCAATGAACTAATGGTATTTAAAATCTAATCACGAATATTTAGTCAGTCAGCTGCAACGTATAAATTCGTACGTACAAACATCAATTCAAGTTGCCATACCACATCACAGAGACGCAATGGTCAATTCAAATCACATAGTGGTAGATGTACTAAAAGTATGAACAGTAATCGGAAAGATTCGGGTTTGAATAGCATTATCTGGTTAAATAAATTATAAGGGAGAAAGATAAATGTGATTAAGGATTCAGATTAGAATTCGAGAAAACACAATGAGTGAATGCACCTGAGATGCTGTATAAGTTTTTTTGTAGTTTTGTGGTTCGCAAAAACGTGTGTCGATGTTGCAATACCTGACGAAGAGTGAATATTTAGTCTATACATCCACGTCCATTTGTGGAACCAGCCTGGTTTTCTGTAGTCTGCACTTCACGAGCTGTAGTTAGGTGTTGAATTATTACTGAAGCTAGTAGTTTAGACATTTTATTAGTTAAACTGATTCGTCGGTGATTGTCATAAGAAGACTTTTCTCCTTTTATGTAGACTGGGACAATCAGTGATTGAGACCAGTAGGATGGGATTATGCCCAGTTCCCGGATTCTATGATCTCAGTCAATCTAGCTGCTAAAACTGGACCGCCATTCTTAATCATCTCAAGGGTTTTATCAGCCTGTGTCTCAGCTTCCTCCACTCCTTATCATATTTAGAGCCAGGCGCGATGAGTGTTCGAGCATCTATCAGTTCAGTAGATGGTACGGAAATCCACTGTTCTTCCCTAACCCTTTGCTTTACTTTAGTTGCAGATATTACTGCTGTTTCCACAGCTTTCTGTATATCATTTACAATCTGCTTCAGGTCGGGCACCACTTAAGTGGTTAAATGACTCTTAGTTGTTCTTAAAATGTTTTCTTGAATTTTTTATTAATCTGAATTTTAAGAGGCCTTTCTATGGCTGTTTTACATCCTGTAACATTCACTTAAATAACATTGAAAAGAAAACTATCATTATATGTAATTTACTTAATTTTTCAAGTTGCCACAGCTGAATATTCACTCAGAAAACAAATTTTATTCTCCGGAGCAAGATATTTTTAAACCAAGACATTTCAGTTTCTTTTCGCAGTTTTTACTCATTGTGGAATCATCTTTATTATTGACTTTTCTGCCTAGTTACAGCTCATATTATCAAGCTTCGGTGATGGAGATGGTAATGTTGCTATAATTTTTAGATGGGGAATTCAATGTTTTCTGCACATAAATTTGCGTCGGACACGTTGGTGAAATTACGTTTAAACTCAATATTTGTTGTGTTTGTTTTATGCAGACCTGTATGTTTGATGTCTTAAACTTGCCACAATAAACAGATCTGTTAGGTATAAATGTTAGTAAAAATGAAAACAGTAATAATAGTAGTAAATTTTGATGTGATATTGGCTTCGATATTCGAATCAAATGCTTTCTCCACTAAGTTGAATAATTTCATGAGAAATCAACCTCTGGGAATAAGATGCATTGCCCTTCTCACATTGAGTTACAACGCTTCTCTGTTGTCGATCAATGTGTAATTATTTACAGATTTTTGTTATCACGTTATCCACAAGACACATTCAAGTCTGTGTTACTCAGTACCTAAATCAAATATCTTACTGTTAGACTATTTATTATGAGCTAAAATACATGAATGCTTGCCACTTGAAAATGTGATAATTAGGTGTTTTTTTGCACACTACTTTATGTACTTTTATCTTTTGCACTTAGTTAGTTTAGTGTATTATTGTTCAAAGTGTGTTTCACTGTTAAAACGTCCTCACCATCATATCTTTGTTTTTAATTTTGTGCAACATGAAGACTAAGTGTTTATTTCTATTCGAATATTGTGTTAAACCATATCAAATTCACCTGTTACAACTCACCGTACTGACTAGTTTAACATACATGTTAAAATGTAGCTAAATGATATAGTACCATAAAATGAGGATTAACACTTAGGCATTAATTCATTGAGAAATGAATGATATACAAGCTAATTTTCTTCAATTGTTTATGATATTTTGTGTCCATATCTTTATCACACATTTTATTACCAAGACACAACCTATTCATCTGGCTAGCGGTTTTGTCTTGAATTTCTAATCATTCTATGGGCTAAGTCAATAATATCGTTTCTTGAGTAGTCATCATTTGGTGATATTATATCATTGCGTTCATGTATCAATTAGCACTCTGTTCACTGATCTTAACACCCGGAAATTTCGTCTCAACAAATCATCAAAAACCTCCTCTAACAACAAAAATAGAAATTAAATTATTTATTGATTAGAAAACATTAAATGAAACAATGTATAATTCCACAGTTCAGATCATTTCATGTTTTTTCTAACCAAGTGAAATCAAAACAATTAGAGGCAATTAAAAAAAGACAGCGAAAAGTTTGTGAAACAGTTGTCACTACAACGGCTGGGTATGTAGATGTCATTGTTTGCTGAGTATATTCTTTTAAGAGCATTCGGTAATTAATTATTTATTTGTTTTAAGTTATCTTGAACGACATTTACTGTTCTGCAGTCTCTATACTGTAAAATATACTACTAGTTGAAGTGATTCATATCGATTCTAAGTATTTTCTTCAAATTGATTGAGTTGACATTACCTTCGTATTTGGTTTGTGATTCGTATTTATATTGTAGTAGTTCTCGGTACCATTCAAATCTTTACGATATCGATCGTATTTAGGTTTTATCTCATCTAACTGAACTAGTCATTGGCCTAAAGTTCCGATCGGTGTTACCGAAAGTTTAGGTTTGAAGGGTGATTGGTCATTTTACTTAAGTTTTAATGGTTACATTGCTCAATACCTTAATGATCATATGATTCTTATTTATTTCTTAGTTCTATTCTTTACTTTTTCCCACTTAAGCATCCAACACGTTATTGTGTAATAGCGAACCTTCATCTACAAGCGATTTCAATTGGGACCCCAATTACATAAATTTTCCAGTACCTGAAGAGAATTTTCTATCCTTTCTTACGTGGATAAAATCAGATAAGGTAATGTTCAATCTTTTAAAACACCAAGTTCATGATGTATGGCGAAATTTATTGTATTGTTAGAGATGTAATATACTTTTGGTTATTATTTTAGAGCAACCAAATAATGAGTGTTGGTGTTCTTAGCTTTAAACAATGTTATAATCCCATACAAATCTAATTAAATTGAACGTAATTTTTATTAAGAATTTTTGTCCAAATTTGAATGAATAGTTTTATAATAGTTGGGTTCTGATTGTATAAACAAATTACATTTGTATAAATCTAAACAAATGAAATGGAAAACTTCATTATTTTTTGCTAGTTTGGTTTGAGCTTCTTTAAGGAAATAATCAATAATAAGAATACTCGTTTGTAAAATAATTACCTGAAAGCACAATTGCTTAGTTTACACTTATTTTATAAACCCAATTTACGTTCGGCAATTTTGATTTTTAATTAGTTCTCTGGATTATTTGTTGCTGGTTTATATAATTTTTGGATTAAAAACAAACGATAACTGAACTAAACGATCACATTAATTTTCGGTCAAGTTTGCTCAGTAAAATCTACACAACACTAGAAACCGTTGTCTTTATACCTCCAGTAACATAGTTCGAAATGAAATGCGGTTGAGATAGTCCACTCACTTTTCGATCTCAATAGAAAATATCTTACTGTCCTACTTTCATACGTTCCGTGTTTTCTAATTTTTCTTTCATTCTAAGTCGTTGCAATATTTTCTCAGCTTTATTAAGATATAATTTAAATTCTTGGGAGCTTCAGTCAACTTAGCATGATACAAAGTTCTTTTTTGTTTATTCATCTGCAATATAAATGAATCCAAGTGTAGTAAGCTAATTTTAAATGGTGCAGTAGTTGAGTGCATCAATATTGTGTACCCTATGTTTTAGATGTTAAGAGTTTGGAGGTAGTTAGAATCCAACCCACTCAAAAGTATATATTCTCTCTAGACTACATGTAAACCTTGTCAACGAGTCCCAGCTAGAACGAAAACTAGGTCCAAGGTTTCTTTCTGGCTGCCTCCAACTCCTCAACAAAGTCATTTATTATATATTTGTTCATATCACAAAAGTCAGTTCATCCATAATAATAATAAATTTATAAATCTAGATAAACTCATATACCGACACATGTTTCCACACTCTTTTTGACATGTGGATTCTATATGAAACCTATTGATACTTCCCAAGCTAATCTAAGTCAAATGGCGTTCAAGCTTATAGCCTAGTGACTAAGATTAGAAGTTCATTAACCAATAACTTGTTGTTTCATTATTGCATTGTATAATAATTAGTATGGAATAAAAAATTAACTGATTTATATTATCGTCTGAATAAATTTAATTTTTTTTAATTTTTTATGACTAGAAAATTTCCATCGACTTCTTTATTATGTTACTAAACAAAACTACAGAATTTTTCAGTCAACAACCTAATCTAACAGAAATTCAACTTGAAAATGAACATCATTTGATAATTTGTGGTGATCTCCATGGCAATTTGTTTGCAGCTTTAAGAATTTTTGAGGAAGTAAGTGTTGTTTTTGTAGAAAAAAATCAAACAAAACTGATCAAATTGATTTAGCTGGTTTTAGAATATTTTATTTCAACTTAATTCAATTTAATATATATATATATATATATATATATATATATATATATATATATATATATATATATATATAGCAAGTTTACTGAGGTACACCCATTTTTTAATTCGAAATTTTTAATGGTTTATATTATTATTTCATTAATTTTATTTTATTTGATACTATATTTTAATGATTTATGGTTGTGTTGTATAAATTGCCTTAAATAATCTCTTTTTCTTATATAATCCAAAATCCAATAATGATAATTGTAACAGTGAAACATCGTTTAAGGAGTAAACAACACAAATGTGCTAAAACTTATTCCTGTGATTAGTTAGTTATAGAAATCAAAGAGAGTAATAGATGAATGTGAATTTAATGAAGGGGATTTGTAGAGTTGTTTTATATTCATAGTTTGAAGTCGTGAACTGTCATCAAAAACATGAAAACACTAAACGGTCTTTTTTTCCTGAAATTTTCCTTATAGCTCAAATCGAGATGAACTTTCAGTAGACGTTAATAAGATAAGTATTTACAAACTTCAATAATAGCGAATCGGGATCATCTACGCTACAATATGAGTAGAAAGTTAATCTATTTTAATTTTTGTTCGATTTACTTTATATATTAAATGTTTGAGTGGATTTAGACCGGGTTTTAAGATTGTTGTCTTTCAGTAGCAACAAATATTGGCAAATTCAAGGTAACCAAGCACATAAAATTCTTAAGTCTACTACATTACCCAATAGCGGAGTCATAGACTTTATTGTTTGGGTATCGAATCGACGTTTCAATCATATTTTTCTATTGAATTAAGCACTAATTAACGATTGGATATCAATTAATAATTTTCTTCAGTTAAAAGTCTTTATTTAACTCCATCAATCAAATTTTTGTATAGTTACTAAGCGCTTCCTGTCTCCAGGTCCTCTATGTTAAAGCAATTACATCTTAATGGCGGGTTTCTCAATCTAACAGTTATGGAACAATCAAACCTGATGAAAATATACGTTCAATAAGTTTAGAAAATCACTCATATTAATTTTATTGCGTCTCTGTGCTAATGTGGTTTGGTAAACTGAACTGATGTACGTACGTATGAAGTTCTACATTGTAACTGACTGATTAATTTTAACGCATTTATAGAGTGGTTTACCGAATTCTCGGAATCGTTTTGTGTTCAATGGGGATTTTGTCGATCGAGGAGCTAAATCAATTGAGGTATTGGTGTTGTTATTAATGGCTGTATCAACTTACCCAAACTATGTATTCCTTAATCGAGGAAATCATGAAGATATCACGGTAAATGAAAGGTTAGTTTTTATTATAAAACTAACAATGCATTATATTCCCTTCCCTTATACGTTAAAAAGTAATATTTGTCTTGAAGTTCGTATTATAGTTTTTAAGCGTACTTGACTATTCATAGTATAAAGCGAATATTAGTATAACCTGAGCAGTTGTAATTAACTTCTAATCTTTCTCTATGTGATATGATTCACGAATAGTTTCTTAAAAATATAATAGGTTAGAAAGCTGATGGTTCAACAATGATTGATTCACGATTTCAGTGGAAAGCAACAATCTCCATAACTCTGGTGATAAATCATAATAGTCACTCACAAGAGTTCTTTTAATTTGTCAAGGTTTGTGGGCTCTTCAATTTAATAATTGTTCTCATTATTGTCGTCATTAATTGAAAAGCATTAGGGATTGGACTTTCGCTAATTTCAGATTCAATAATGCTTTGCCAATGCTTTAATAGCATCTCACTCGCTACGAAATCTGAATTTATTTGGTTCGTTAGTGGATACATGCTGTTGACAAATCCAAATTTGGGATAAAGCAGATGTCTAGCGCTTCTCAGTTCTCATTAGTTCACCAGCTGATGTCAGTTCCTGATGAAATCGACTTAATTTCGGTTATTTGACTTATAATAGAGTTTGCACACTTTTGCTTTTTAGAAAATGTTTTAAGTGTTCAGTGGAATTACTGTGTAACTTATGATTGAACGTAATCTGATTGAAAGTTTAGTTTTTTTATTCTCTGAAATAATAATTTCATTTCTTTATAAAATGATGTACAAATTATTTCGACTTATCAGTATTCTTTTCTCTAATGAATTAAATTTTCATGATGATATCACAAATGTTTATCATTTCACCTTTGACACTTTTATTTTCACATTTATTAATATTTTATTAGATTTGTAATTGCTTTTAGTTTAATTATGTCAACATCAAAAAAAAAATTGGAACCAATATTTTGATGTGTACAATTATTTTGATTACGCCCTATTTTGCAGAAGAGTAATATGTATTTGTACGTAGCTAGGTGCGTATATATATATATATATATATATATATATATATATATGGCAATGCATAATGATAGCTTCACTTATGAAATGATCACCTAAACAAGGTAACTAAGGGTTAAACTTAAAATTTTATATTCAGTTGTATCTATATATTTAAATTACTCAACTCTCTCAAATATAGACTTGTGTTTGAATAATAAAGTTGCAGTATCATATATTTTTCCCATTTATTATTTACATGTTGGGTGCAACTGATTTGTGTAGTTGGCTTTAAGCTATACATTTGTGTATGCTGTAGTGTTACTACCCGGGTGCCCAAATAGAAGTAGGCGGGGTGCAGTTCGGACTTGTGACCTAGTAGCTGAGAGTTAAACGCCTTAACCACTAAGATATGACTTGACACTTTTACATATTACTTCATGAGAGATTCGTTATTGAAAATGACAGCTACAAATGTAAGGCTGCAATTAGTGCTTTATTTTCTACTAACGGTTATTTACACTAAAGTTTCTTGTGCATCATAATTAATTTTATTCTTTTGCAAACTTGTTCAGGTATGGATTTATAAAAGAACTATCAAACAAATATTCTGTAAGTTATATACTGTTTTATCTTTTCAACTTTATCAAAATATGTATTCAATGTTCACCCAGGTGAACATTGATATTTTACAGTATGACAATTCAAAGCCAGATTAATAAAATCGGCAACTAAACATAAGGAATATAATCCTAAAAGAATTTAGAATAATCCTTTTAATAAATTTATAGAATGCTATGAGAATTGTTGAGATTGATGAATAAAAGTTATGAAATATAAAACTTAATTTAATACTTTGAATAGAAAATAAGTAATGAAAAGACTTCCACTTTTCATTATGCACGTTTTATGGAACATTACTAAGACGTTTGTACTTGCTGACAACACATTCACAAATTGATATAACTTTGTTTTCTCTTAACCCGTAACATCTGCTTTACTAGTAGCCTACATGAGATTATTAGGTTAGACGATGTCTGATCACGCGTAACACTTTATTGCATACTGTTTGGTTTTATATATATATATATATATATATATATATATATCAATTTGTTGATCTTATTTCCTGTGGTATTACTGTCACCTGTTGTTAGTAAATATTGTCTGACAAAGTTGTCGAATGATGGGTTTTTTTTTCACCATAGGTATGTTTACTAAATTAATGATATGAATTTTAATGCAAAACTCAATCCTCAGCATAGACATAGCAATAATTTTAAGTTCTCAAATTAGTTGAAAAATAATGTAGGTAAATATGTGATGCGCTAGGAAATTAACTAATAATAATAGTCATCATTCATAATATTATTATAGAATAAAATGATTGATTCGTCGATTTCATTCATTTTCTTAAGCAAAACTATCTGATCCTACAACACCAAATCGTGATGCATAAAATTGTCCTGAAATCTAAAACTAATATATTCTTTCAATTATTCTAACCTGTGATTATTATTATTATTATTATTTTTGTTACATTTTCAATTTTTAGAAAGATAAAGATAATTTAATTCATTTATGTGATAAACTATTCTGTTCCCTACCAATTGGAGCTATTGTCAATAAAAGAATATTTATCTGCCATGGTGGTATATCAAAACATACAGATCTTGTGAAATTAAAACGTTTAAATCGATTCAAAGTGAGATAAAAACAAACTTGAATTTTTAAAATTATTTCTTTTCTATTCAAAAGAAAGAAGCAAATATCATATCATGCTTATGCATTTAAATTAAAAAAACAATAATATATATGCAGAATACAATGTAATTATTATGTTCCGTTTTGCTATTTCTTCAAATACACTTTGTGTCAGCTATATAAAGATTGGATTATTCAGTCAGTCAGTTACAACGTAGAACTTTGTACGTATGTACGTCAGTTCACGTTGCCATATCATATTAGCACAGAGACATAATGGTCAATTCAAATCCCATAGTAGAAGAGGTAGTAGAAATATTAGCAGTAATCGGAGAGGAATTGGGGTTCGAAGATATTATATTCAAAATGTAGAATATAGTGTAATGAACTATAAAAGAAAAAGATAAAGGTGACGAGGAATTCAGAAGGTTAGAATTTGAGAAAACGCAAAGAAAGAATGCACCTGCACCATTGCAAACGGTTTTGAGCCATATCATTCAGGATCTCTAACCATCGATTACTACCACCTCGCGGCCCCCAACCAGTTAGTCTACACCTACCAACTTAATATTAGAGCATTAAGTATAAACCAATTACTAGTGATTTTAAATTAGGAATTGTTTGTTGTATTGACAATGAATAAATTAGATAAAGAAAAAATTGCATAGTTGGAATACATGATAGTTTTGGTTGTTTTATCATGAAAACAGCATGAGAGATAGTTCAGAATTATTGACTGAAATGATTAATTATATAAAATGATCAAAAAAGAATATGATATTTAACCTAAAATAAGAAAGATAGGCTTACAGTTTAATGTGAATTAATGGTCTGTAACCAAAAAAAGAATTAGTGCATTTCAACAAAATTCAAATTTTGATGATTATATTTTTTCATGTTAGATGAGTAATATTTGAATTTTGGAAGTTGTACTAGCCTTTAAGTTAATTCTAGTACAGTTCTATGCTAAGTGCAAAAGATTTATTATGAATGTATATAATACTGTGGTGTGAGCTACTTATAAGTAGTATATGGCGTGAGTGTCAACGTAATGTCTGGCAGCAGAACATGGGGGAATATCAAGAAAGGAAGAGTTGGAACACAATGGAATTTGTATGAAACGCATGAATAGTGACAATGGATTGATGTTTTTCAACAGGAACAGTCCAGTTCGATAGGATGGACTGATAATTTGCAAATGAACGATTAACGATATAGTTTTCCAATTTTACTCAGTAACTCTGTAATTTCCGTTAAATACAATTCGGTTGCCCCACGTGTGTTCTCATTCACTACAATACTTTTAACTTGAAAAGATTTTTTCACCTAATTGATTACCCTTATTCTTTTTCTGTTTATTTTTAAAAAAAATCTTATTCCAAAGCTTTCTTCACTTCTACAACCATGTTTGGATGCAGATAACTGTGTAAATTTTGATGATTGGCAACAGGTATGAATTAAATAGATGTTTTTTTAAAACTATTTTTACGTATAAAATTCATTTATAGTATGCATAGAATTCTGTATTAGAATTGAAATGTGATTTCTTTTTCTGAAACTTTCCTATTTCACATTTATTTTCTAATGAAATTTTCCTATTTTTGTTTTGCGTTCCGGTTGTCTTTTGTTTTACTAGGTTTTAGACTTGTTATGGAGTGATCCTCAAAATAAAGATGGCTGTCGATCCAATGGTTTCCGTGGTGCAGGTTGTTATTTTGGTCCAGATATTACTGACAGTTTCTTAAATGCAACAAATTTCTCCATGATTATTCGATCACATGAATGCTGTATGGAAGGATGGAGTATTTCTCACTCAGGAAAAGTTTTAACTATATTTTCATCATATGATTATTTCACACTACGTAGTAATGAAGGTACTTATGCCCGTGTTACTGGAGGTATATCTAATCCAACAAATGTAACCGATCTGAATGCGATTGTTTCTCTGTATCCGATAAAATCTGTATCAAACGATACTTTGTCAATGTCGCTTGACATTTATGTAACTGTATTTGTTCTTACAAAAATGCAGGATCAACTATCAAACAAAAACAGAACGTGAGCTTCTTGTAATTGAGTTATTTAGAATCTTGATCAATTCATATAAAGATCGATATCCAGTGGTTTTTATTAAACTTTTTAACCGGTTTCATCTGGTAATACTTAGTGTATAATTTTATCGATGAGACCGAAGACCGATCGCATGTATAAAACATTTTCTTCATATATTTTTACAACCATTCGCCTGAAATTTCAGTACATTAATCAGGATTCTATTTTTTATGCTTGATTACTTAAGAATTCTTATTAGGTCAAAGAATTTCAATCCAAGCTGATTGTTATTGACCATTGTCTATACCACAATGTCTAACTGTTGAGATTTGTAACAAGGCATTGTGCAAAAGGATATTAATTTATCACTTCTATAAAAAAGATTAAAACATTTATGCTGATCACTACATCCAGTGGTTTTGTAGAGAGAATCAGCTAAAGGATTAGGTATTTTATGTTCAGGAATATATCCCTAATATATATTATTAAACTGGGAGATTTAAACAAACTGAGTATAAACAAGATACCAGTTAGTAATCATCAGAACAACTATTCTGGATTGTCCTACTAAGTACATTGTTCAAGTTAAGAAGACATGTGTGATTAGATTAATATTTCAGGCTGTGGCTGAAGGCCGGTTCAGTTTATCCTCAAAGTGTGTTGCTCATTGCTCCAGTCATCTTGATTGAGAATGAATATTATGCCTAACTTTTTCATAGATAGTCATGCTAACATTTGCGTTTTTAATACCAGTTGCTTCGATAAGTCTGAACAGTTCTCTACTATTATCTATTGCTGCTTACTTTTTCATCTCTTTTGTTTTCACTACCCACCATTGTTAACGATCGTTGCGTAGGCTTTTTATTAGCCTGTGCTTAAGCTGACTCCGCTCTTCGTCATGTTCAGAGCTAGATGAGATGAGTTTTCGAGCGTCTCTCAGTTCAGTAGATGCTACCGAGATCCACTGCTTCTCCACAACCTTATGATTTACTTAACTAGCTGATACCACTGCTATTTTTACAGATTTTTGAATGTCATTCGAAGCTGTTTCAATGTGGGAAACACGTGACTGACCAACTGTATTTCTAGTTGCTCCTGAAATGTATTAGCTTTGCTACTATTAAGTAGAACTCTAAGAGGTTTCCATGCCGTATCTTTCCTACGTCCAGTTAGATGCAGACAAATATGCGCTTGTTCTAGAGCATAATGTGATTCTAGACATGTGCTGAAGAACGAGCGACAGCCTTCTTTCGAGCCTCTATATCGGTAGCTGATAGCGATGTGGTCTAGTTGGATCCAGCGTTGGGTCGATGTTGGGAGTCGCTATGTCAAAAGATGTTTTTCCTTATGCTTAAAGTTAGTGTTAGCTAAAAATAGGCGGTTTTGTGAGCATAGCTGCAGCAGACGATCACCATTATCTGACCAACGACACTGTGATACATCCAGGTGTCCTGTATAACTCATTCCTTTTTTGTGCCAGCTGCAGTCAGTGAGAGCGTAGGCAGGTACGACGAAGAGGCAACGACGAATTTTCTTATCTTTACGAGTCTTTACCGTCCCTTACAGTGCATAAGCGACTGTCCACTGGGATCCAGTATATGAGATCTAGCTCTGCCCTAGGACTCAATGTTACACCTACACCAGTGAGGCCACGGGAAGCAGCAGCAAAGCTTCCAGATACACGAAGTGTAAACCGGGTTGATTCTCTATCTCAAAAAGGTGAAATCAAATCAATGATTTTGCTCGGATCCTGTGTGCGCGTTTAGGAAACGCATTATACATCGGTGGCGCGAGATTCTAAAGTCAGGAAGCATGTTGTCTAATTCTGTACAAGTTCCGGACACTAAAAGCTCCAACCTGTAGTTTAGAGCGGGATTTGAGGAAACTGTTATGTAACTTATATCGTTCGCATTAGAGATGCGGGGTTATAAAGGACCGTTAGAAGGGTTAGCCGTGGAGATAAGAGAGATGTTAGAGGATGTAGTAAGGATTTGATTATGACCAATTTAGTCTCGTGTGCTGTTTGAGCTATGAGGGCGGGTGTCAATTCTCGTCCGCCCACAATGTGGGTGTTTGTCGAGGAACCTGAAAAGGAAGCTGGATTATTGTTGGTCTGGACGACCTAGGAGAATTTTAGCTCCAATCTTCAAATAACCTTACCGCCGGAGATAGAAATTCGCGGTTAAGGTGAGGTGTGACATTTTTAGGATCTATCCTTTCTAACCCCTTTCTTCCTTGTGAGAAGGCAGCATCTCTGTAGATGCTGGTTGTCCGAGGGAAACACCTTACCGCTGTTACACCCCTCTACAGTCATTCAACAGTATGATTTCGCCCTCAGACCTTGAGTAGCTGCTTTTAATCTCATCGTTCTCGAATCGACCTGTCTGTCGTGGTAGCACCCACGGTAACATATGTTGCACCCAATATTGCTAGCTCGGTTGGGTCATCAGGATAGGCAGGCTTGACCATCACATCAAGTTAGCAGCCACAGTCAAGCTTCGAGATAACTTACTATCTAAACTTCTGTGAATTTACTTTAGTTTTTTATTTGTTTTTTGTAAAGAGATGACTTGCATTAAATCACGAGACCTCAGAATTACACATTTCTACTCATTGGGGTATCATCAAAAAAATTATTATTGATAACTTTCCTCCTAATATTCGATTTATTTGAAACTATCACGTCTAATCCTGGTATTGACTTGTTTTAAGTTGCAAATTTTGTATCAATGACATTGTTTAAGTGTTTGAAATACATAAAGTTCCACATTGCTTATATGTTTAGAAAGGTCAATTTTCCTGGAACAACTTTTAAACCACCAATGATCATTATCACATCTAATTTTCTTAAGTTGTAAATTCTCTCAAAGATGAAATAAATTAAATTAATCTTATTATTATTATCTTTAACTGAGTTGAGGTGAATGTTTGCAATAAAATTTATTCATATAATGTAATTTTAGTTGATTTTTTTCAGTGATAGCTACTTATTTATAAATTATATTATACTTTTTTGAGTGTATAAAATGTTCAAATTCAATTTAAATCTAATGGTTTAGGAAAATTTGAACATTTGGCCAATAATAGTTTTAAGGTTATCAATATTCAATTACGGAATGTTAATGAGAACAATTTTTAGCATGCTTCACAAATTTCTAATAATTAGTGTATATCCTTTTTTGTTTGGGAGAAAAGGTGTCTGTTATGATACAATTGTTCTTACTGATGACTTTTAAACTACATTCCAAATGTCGAATAATCTAAGTAAAAAAAACAGACTGTTGTGATAAAACAATACATAACATTCTTTTTTTTTCGTGAAAATGTCAACTTTATTCTACTTTTTTTGAATAAATACTTTGATAATCACTTCAGATTGAATGATCCTACTAATATGGCATTTGTATGTTTATGGCAACGCATAATTCGTCGCAAAGAAAAACTCTTGGAATATTTCAGTCAGCTGGATAGTCATAACTCAGGTTAATTAACCCATATATTTTTATTGTTTGTTGTTGAAGTAAGAAGGGAGACATGATGTTATTTTATAATTGATATCAGTACTTTAAGTTTGGCCAAATCTGTTCATTTGCGGTTCCTGGTTATTATTCGTTTGATATTATCTTTACTTTATCCGCCCTGTTAGATCTTCAGATTTGTACTGCATTCTGTCTACTTCAACAGGTTGTTCGTTGGTTTCACTAGATCTCGCACAGAAAGTCTGGTTTACATATGAGTACTTTAAGCTTACGCGATTACTGAGTTAGATTACTAATTATTCACACTTAGTAAGCTTGACCAGTCAACAGTTAAATATTCTTTTACTGAGTTCTTTAAACCTCCTCTTAATTGCCAGCTTGACTACTGAAGATGCTTGATCAATTTCACTATTATAGCTTATTAATATTTTTATATATACAAATCCGTTGGTCGTTTGACTTATAGTCCATTGTTTATGTATCGTCGTACAGTTTTGGGAATGCACTCGTTTCAAAATAAGTGTTCTTTAACTGAATTACTTACCAACGGTAATATGTATTGACTATAATTGTTATGACTACCATGTATGAGGTTTGATACTGTTTTTTTTTGAAAAATACTGTTAAAATGGTTCGTGCCCTTATATTGTACTAGCAATAGGAAATAGGACAAGCAAAGCAGTGACTGTGTAATCATGTCAATTCTTACTTCTTTTCCCTTTCTCTCCATCCCCCTCTCCAGCATCATCATCTCTGTAGATATTTTAAAGGATATTCGATACACGAAATAACTTTCCATCTGACCTTAATCATATGAAACTATTCAGCTAATGAAACTTGCTTAAACTTGAAAAAATTACGTTTTAGTTCAAACTAAGAATAATAATTAGATATTACTTATCACCAAGGTAACTGTTGCATGAGAACATATGAAAATGATGTTACTTTTAGTTTATGTAACAAAATAACATTAATTTACACCTTTTCAACAAACTTATATTTGTAAATTCTTTTACTAAATGATTTCGCTTCAGTAAGTAAATTTCTAAATACTCTAGATGGATTGATGGATCTATGCACATCGTTGTTTTCTTGATAGGTTGAACTTGATGATTTTTGCAGAGAATGCTACTTAACTTCCTTACACTTGTTGATTTGAACTAAGCCTAGTTGGTTAACGTCCGTGGATCAATCAAATTAGGCTAGTAATGATTAGTTGTTAACATGTTAACAGTCGATAAGGTTTTCAGTTCGTCCTACATTCATCCATTTATTTGGAATTGATTTTACAAGTTCTGTTTACGGGGTGGTAAAGATTGTTAAGTTACACATTTTAAAACTATTAATGGATTAATGTTAGACCACCATTAGAAACCTGGAAGCGCTGGACGGCCGTTTCGTTCCGGTATGGGACTCATCAGCAGTGAGCATCCACGACTCCTGCCCCCTCAGGATTCGAACCCAGGACCTTCGGTCTTGAGCGCGAACACCTAACCTGATAATTGGTATGGTTCTTTTCTTAGTAAATACATATGGATAAAGTCAATAATTATTCATTGTTACATAATCCATCATTTGTTTAATACATAAATTTATTAAATTTAATTTCGATTAGGTCTCATTTCACTAAATGACTGGTGTGATATAATGACTTCCGTAACAAAACTAAAGCTTTCTTGGCGTTGTCTACGTTCATTTCTAGCCAAATTATCTGTTGATCATCCAGATCAAGTTATTTACAATTCTATGTTTACAGGAAACTGTGTAGTACATCCAGATCTTCCAGTAAGTTTTCCGTTGTATAACCTATGAATAATTGAAATCTTATTCATAATCAATGGGCACTATGCCAGTGCAAAAATTATTTTCATTATTTAACACTTCGTATCTAACGTAGTTAATACACAGACAGACAGATAGAACGCAGAACTTCCTACGTAAGTACATCAGTTCAGGTTGCAGTACCACATAAGCACAAAAACACAACTGTCATTTCAAATCCAAGAGACATAAAGATAGTAGAATTATTAGAAGTAATGGAGAAGATTGGGGAGCAAAGATATGATTCGACAAGTATGATTCAGTGAGATAAATTCAGAAGGAGAAAGGGAGACTATGAGGAATTCAGAAGGTTAGAATTAGAGAGAATACAAAGAGTGGATGCACCTGCGCCATTGCAAATGATTTTGAGCCATATCATTCAAGGTCTCTAACCATCGGTGACTATCGTCTTGCGGACCCCAACCAGCTAGCCTACATCTACCAACATGACTCAGTTCACTTGTCAACGACTTCATGCATTTCTGCATGTTTTGGTTTGGCCTCTCCTAGCTTTCTTCCGATCTATTCCTACATCGTAAAACATAGCTCGGCAAGGCGGTCGGTGGTTAGGCATACGTAACACATGCCCCAACCACTTCAACTGATGAAGCTTCAATACTTCATCTATTGACCTGCCATCCTTATCTGGTACCCGTCTCTTAACAACAGCATTGCTTACTCGGTTGTACCACGAGCAATGCTTCGGAGATATCTATAATCGAATACTAGTAACCTACGAATATCTTTTACTCTTACCGGCCATGTTTCGCAACCATAAATTAGGACGGAGCGAACTGCTGCCTAGTACACTCGTCCTTTGGTTAGCAAACGGATATCTCGCCTACGCCATAAGTGACGCAGGTTGGCAAAAGCCAATCGAGCCTTCTGAATCCGAGCTGAGATTTCGTCATACACCAGGCCATCAGCACTGATAAGACTCCCAAGATAAGTGAAGCGGTCTACACGTTCGACTCCTTCACTCCCTATCACTAGTTCAGGTGCCGATGAAACCCAATCTTGAAGCAACATTTTGCATTTCGAGGGTGAGAACCGCATCTCGAACATGCTTGCTTTGTTGCTTAGGGTAGTCAGAAGACTCTGCATTTTGTCAGCGTCTTCACCGAATAGGACTGTCATCAGCATATTCTAAGTTATTAATCAATTCCCCTGGTAGAAAGTCGACTCCTGAAAAGTCGGAAGAGGATAAGGTTATATCTTGGAGCATGTTTATGATAAAATTAAACAAAAATGGGGAAATTTGATAGCCCTGACGGACACCGCTTTAAGTAAAGAATTCGGTTGACAGTTTGCCATAAGCTCTCACGCGACCTGTAGTGTTCGAGTAGAGAGCTTATATAAGGTCAATGTGCTTCTCTGGTACACCTTTCAATGACAGACACTGCCACACAACCTCACGATCCACACAGTCAAATGTCACCTTAAGGTCCAGGAAGACAACTATTGTCGGACGTCTAAATGTTTGTCTGTGTCCCACAACCTGACGAAGTGTGAATATGTGGTCTATACAGCCACGTCCAGGTCTGAAACCAGACTGGTTTTCTCTAGTCTGCTCTTCACGAGCTCTACTTAGACGTCTAAGGATAATCGAGGGTGAAAATTAAGAAACTATATTAGTTAGACTGATTGTTCTGTGATTGCCACAAGAGGACTTTTATCCTTTCTCATACATTGGGACAATTAGCGATTAAGACCAGTCAGATGGGATTGTGTCCTGTTCCCATATTCTACCTAAGATTTCAGTCAATCTAGCTGTTAAAACTAAACCGCCATCCTTGAGAATCTCAGATTTCAATCCATCGTGTCCTGCTGCTCTCTCTCCCGCTTCAGATTTCCCACAGCCTTTTGAACTTCGTAAAGGTTTGGAGGGCTTACGTCGACTTGCCATTCAGGATGACTGGAGATCGTGGGCAACCGAAGAGTGGCTCGAGGCCAGTTAAACTGATCCCTAAAGTGTTCTGACCATTGATCCAATATCCTGGATTGAGAATAAATGATAGTCCCATCCTTTTCCGAGATAGTCTCACTCACATTCGGGTTCCTAATACCGGTTTCCTTGATAAGGCGGAAAAGTTGTCTACTGTTACTTATCGCCTCTGCTTTTTCCATCTCTCGCTTTCGCTGCCCACCACTGTTCACGATCATTACGTACGCAGTACGACTTCGCCCTCAGATCTTGGGTAGCTGGTTTTAATCTCATCGTTCTTCAATCGACCTGCCTGACATGGTAGAACCTTCAGGAACATATGATCCGGCCAATATAACTCGGTTGGGTCATGACGATAGGCAAGCCTGACCACCACGTCAAGGTACCATCTTCGGTCGGGGTAGTTAATAATGAGTTATTATAATCCATTTTAGACTAACCTTGCTCTTGAGATAACTATATGGTTTACCTTATGATTTGAAAACCGATAGATGTATCTTTGTGGCGCATAATTTGATTTGAGAATATATTAAATTTTATGAAAATTCAATTAAATATATATTATCTATACAGTGCGTAAATTATTAACTTTATAAAAAGTTTTTTATCATACTTATATATCAACTGATTTTTGAGTTTGTTTTTCCTCGTAACCATGTACACATACATTTACTAATATTGATCAATATTCAATCTTGTATTTTTGCAGAATGAAAATTTATTGGCCAATGAAATTTTTGAATTACAATCTTATCTTTTGAATGTTGTTCAAGCTTGTCATTTTAAATTAAGTAAGATTCTTTATTTGAAATTCTCTGTACCACTGATAAATTTGTAAAATCATTGTTTGTTATGGAATTGGTTATTTTATGTGTGTTTTGTTTGTTTTAGTTTAATTTTTGATTAACATAATAATTATTATTATTCTCTGTACATAAACTAGTTGTGATCGTCGTGTTAAATCAGCAATCAATTGTTTTATTGTTGTAGCACTAGTCGGATCATGAAATGATCGTCTTTTTCTATTATTTTCTCCCATCTGAACCATGAATATAACAAGTATTTGCATTGCATAGATTGTTTTCGATTTTTTTTTCTAAATGTTGTAAACCACAATTGTGCTTCAATTAACACTAGGTAGTAATTTGTTTTTACTGTCTTAAAATTTATCAATAACATACTAGAAATCATTGTCTAAATTCAAACGAATAGTTTCGCAACAGTTGGGCGCTGAGTTCATATTTGATGCAATGAATAGTTTATTGAAAATAATCTTTCTAATCAATTTCTAACTATCATCTGAATATTTTGATTGTTAGATTTTAACTGTTAGTTTCGCAATCTCCTGTTACTGATGGTTTGTAAACCTAATATACTTTATGGTGAAGTTTAAATATCGATCAGCATGGAAACATCATTAGTAGTAGCTTTTATAGTGGAGAATATCAAATGATAAGCAATCATGAAGGACATATATATCTGCACATATTTGATAGTAACCAACCTAGACGTGTATCCGCTAGCTATATCTGGAGAAGAGATATTAGAGAAATGGTAATTCTTAAGATTAACTTATGGATTATTATTATTATGTATGAATTACTAATTTTGAGCTTTTGCCAGCTAACCATCTACAAATTTTCTTACTCACAACCACTTTTGGCCTGCCCATGTATCAATGCATTTTCTCATTCTGTGGTTTAATGTCTGGTATGTTAGATATAGAAATTATGTCTGGTTGAAATAGAATTATTAGTGGAGACTGGTTACAGGTCTCTGGACTCGGGTGGGTAGGTACTTGTGCGCTATTAGGTACTTAGTTCCTGGCTAAAAGATATTAACTCATAATCATATCCTGATTGGTGTCACGTGATATTAGTCGACGGTTAAAGATACACTACTACAATTCCTTGACCCATTGTTTCGAATGTTCTAATGCCAATGATAAGACATGGGTGTATCTTGTGTGACATACTCTAATTACACTCTCATTTCATTTTACATAATTGCGACTCTAGACAGCAGTAATAATGTGTATTTTATGATTATTATTGTTTTTTTTCGCTTAACTATTTAGACAATGTCAATTTGTACAGCTTAATAGCTAGATTAGAATCAATTGATTACAATGTCCAAATTGTTAGACTAAGAACTGTTTTATCAAAACTGATAAATTTGCTAAACAGAAATGATATAACAGCTTTTAATTTGGAGGAATTCTTGGCTTCTTTTCAGTTTGTGGAGATTCAAAAACGTGTTAAAAGTATGTTGTTTTTGAAAAAAAGATTAGTATGATTTCCTAATATTCTAACTATGACATCTTTATTTATCAACTACTGTCTAGTTTAGTGCATTCATATTAACCAGATATATAACCTACTGTATTTAAATAGATGTTTTCTTAGTGTATAGTGTAAATCTTTATCTCCAGTTATAATGAATGCGCAAATTATAATAACAGTAATCTAGTATTTACTGCAAATCAGCAAAATCAAATACATTCAGTTACTTCCTGACACATATCACCCCTCATAGAGTATAGTCTGTGGCTAGGATCCTCCAACTAACTCTGTCCTCCGCTCTCTTTCTCCGTTGTTCCCATGCGCTATTAATTCTTTTTTATCTTTGTCTCTAATTCTCAGCAAAGTTTGTTTTTTTTTCGCTTATCACTTTTCCACTGGCCTTGAGGATTCCAAGTTAGGGCCTGCCTCGCGGCATATTCTGGTGATTTCCTCAACATGTGTCCTATCAACCTCCAGCATTTTTTCCTCAGCTAGATTTTAATTAAATAATACTGTTAGAAATAAATTTCTAATATACTTCAATTTTTTAAAGTTGAAATAAAAATTAAAACATAAGAAATGACATTTCATTAATATCCGTAGATAATGTTGTCATTTCGGAAGAGAATTTATACACAACAATCATTCTAAAGTTCAATGAGAAATAATTATCTTTTTGACATTATACTCCTCAGTCATTTAGTTGGTCATGTACAACGTAGGACCTGGTACATATGTGCATCTGTTTGAGTTGTACACCACAGCACAGTGAGATCTCAGGGTACTGGAAACATCAATAGTATTGGGAGTAGTAAAAAATATTAAGCAACGAAAAAGTAATTAGAGGAGAAAGAATAAATTCCTGGAATTTAAAAGTATCGGATCTACAGGAAGGCAACAGTCGAATGCATCTACGCCTCCTTGACCGATTCTGTATCATATGACGTGGCGTTTCCAACTACTGTTTACGATAGTTGCGTAGATCCGAATCATGTCTCAAACACCCAAACCTATGAAAATTAACTTCCTCATCAAAACGATTTGCTATGTCTTCCGAGTACCTTATGCTTAAGTTCAATATTACTCACTTGGTTGTCCTAACATGCTAGAGTAATGCTGCGAAAATATCTCTTCAAATACTAGTGACCAAAAAATATCTTTTTAAATTCACTTTTCATAGTTATGAGGTAGAACATAACAAACTATTGAGTGGTATACTCTTTTGGTTGGCAGACACAAATCTCAGCTACATTGCAAGTGACATATATAAGCTAGCGACAGTCAGCTGAGCTTCCTGCATTCGTGCTAAAATTTAGTCAGACCTGAACCCACTGCCTTATTTAGCTAAATTAATGTAGAAGATATGTAACTAATACGTTATTTTGTGCTTTCCTGTTTTTTCCTTAGTTTAACTAACGAAACCGGATTCTGTAGTTTGGTTGGGAAGTTCCACTATATATATATATATATATATATATATATATTATCCAACAGTTCAGAATAATAATTATTTCTATGTGAACCATGTCTTTATTTCATGTTATTCATGTACTTATTTTGCAATAGCTGTATTTATTTGTCTTTGAATGATCTACTCTTATTTTGTCAATAAAATACGTTGACATATTTGTGAATTTTTTTAATTTACTGTTTTTCGGTAGACCATTTACAATGAGAAATGGTTTTAAAACAATTCAATAAAAAATTATGGTAAACTTACTCTTTCGCACTATTTGTTTTAAATTATATGTTGTGCATTTATATTAGATTTTTGATCTATATTCTTATTATCTAATTGTTGTAAATTCAATGTTTGTGAACAATAAATCTTATTACTTCTTATCAATCCTATTCATTTAGTCCTTATTTTTGTCCAAATTTTGAAAATATCCACTGAATAAAAAAATGTTATTATTTCTGTATCTTTCGTTGGTCTTCGTATTTTCATTGTTGACTTTTACTAGGAAATAGGTCATCCTACGCAAATGTACATTTACATAATTTGCTTTGATATTTTATGTACTTAATTACAAGGATATGTGTATAAAGCTAATTTTTCAGCTAAGATCAATCCATAAATATATCGTATTATCACAAAAAATTGATACAAATCTAAATTTTAGAGGAATCTCTTCTTTGAAAGTAAACATTGCAGTTTCTTGATGCAGCAAGTGTCTTCATGAAAAGTAATTACTTACTCCTGTTACCCCCGATGGAGCATAGGCCGCCCAGCAGTTTTCTCCACTCAACTCTGTCCTGGGCTTCCCTTTCCAGTTCTCTCCAGTTTTCGTTCATTCTTCTCATGTCTTTCTCTATTTCTCGGCGTAATGTGTTTCTTGGCCTTCCTCTTTTCCTTTGACCTTGAGGGTTCCAAGTGAGGGCTTGTCCTGTGACGCAATTGGGTGCTTTTCGCAGTGTGTATCTTATCCACTTCCACCGCTTCTTCCTGATTTCCTCCTCCACTGGGACCTGGTTTGTTCTCTCCCACAGTAGGTTGTTGCCGATTGTGTCTGGCCAACGAATCCGAAGTATTTTGCATGGACAACTGTTGTTTTATATCTGTATCTTTCGGATGATGGATTTCGTAGTTCTCCAAGTTTCTGCTCCATACGGTAGAACTGTCTTGACATTTGTATTAAAAATCCTGATTTTTCGTTTTGGTTGAAAGTAGTTTGGAGTTCCAGATATTTTTCAACTGTAGAAATGCAGCCCTTGCTTTGGCGATCCGTGCCCTCACATTTGCATCGGATCCTACTTGGTTGTTGATGATGCTGCCCAGTTGTGTAAAAGTGTTAACGTCCTCTAAGGCATCTTCATCAAGAATGATTTGGTTGGTGCATGTTGTGTCGTATCGTAGAATCATACTTTTCCCTTTATTCGATCACCAGGAGAAAAGGTCCTTATGAAGTTGAAAAGGCTATGGGAAATCTGAAACGAGGGAGAGCAGCAGAACCTGATAGGCTTACACGTGAGATGTTTCATGATGGTGATCCAGTTTTAGCAGCTAGAGTGAACGAGATCTTAGGTAGAATCTGGGAACTAGGCGTAATCCCATCTGACTGGTCTTAATCACCGATTGTCCCAATTTACATGAAAGGACAAAAGTCCTCTTGTGATAATCACAGAGCAATCAGTCTAACTAATAATGCTTCTTAATTTTCAGCCTCGATTATCCTTAGACGTCTAAGTAGAGCTCGTGAAGAGCAGACTAGAGAAAACCAGGCTGGTTTCAGACCTGTAAGTGGCTGTAAAGACCACATATTCACACTTCGTCAGGTTGTGGGACACAGACACACATTTAGACGTCCGACAATAATTGTCTTCCTGGACCTTAAGGCGACATTTGACTCTGTGGATCGTGAGGTTCTGTGGCAGTGTCTGTCATTGAGAGGTGTACCAGAGAAGCACATTGACCTTATATAAACTCTCTACTCGAACACTACAGGTCGCGTGAGAGCTTATGGCAAACTGTCACCCGAATTCTTTACTTCAAGCGGTGTCCGTCAGGGGTATCAAATTTCCCCATTTTTGTTTAATTTTATCATAGACATGCTCCAAGATATAACCTTATCCTCTTCCGACTTTTCAGGAGTCGACTTTCTACCAGGGGAATTGATTAATAACTTAGAATATGCTGATGACAGTCCTATTCGGTGAAGACGCTGACAAAATGCAGAGTCTTCTGACTACCCCATGCAACAAAGCAATCATGTTCGAGATGCGGTTCTCACCCTCGAAATACAAAATGTTACTTCAAGATTGGGTTTAATCGGCACCTGAACTAGTGATAGGGAGCAAAGGAGTCGAACGTGTAGACCACCTCACTTATCTTGGGAGTCTCACCAGTGCTGATGACCTGGTGTATGACGAAATCTCAGCTCGGATTCAGAAGGCTCGATTGGCTTTTACCAACCTGCGTCACTTATGGCGTAGGCGAGATATCCGTTTGCTAACCAAAGGACGAGTGTACTGTGCAGCAGTTTGCTCCCTCCTACTGTACGGATGCGAAATATAGCCGGTTAGATTAGACGACATTCATCGGTCACTTGTCTTCGATTATAGGTGTCTTCGAAGCATTGCTCGTGTAAACTGGGACAACCGTATAAGCAATGTTGTCGTTAGGAAGCGAGTTCTATTTAGGGATGGCAAATCAATAGATGGAGTAGTGAAGCTTCATCAGTTGAAGTGGTTGGGACATGTGCTACGTATGCCTAACCACCTACCGCCTCGCCGAGCTATGTTTTACGATGTAGGAATAGATCGGAAGAAAGCTAGGAGAGGCCAAACCAAAACATGCAGAAATGCATGAAGTCGTTGACAAGTGGACTGAGTCATGTTGGTAGATGTAGGCTACCTGGTTGGGGTCCGCAAGACGATAGTCACCGATGGTTAAAGACCTGGAACGACATGGCTCAAAATCGTTCGCAATGGCGCAGGTGCATCCACTCTTTGTGTTCTGGCAAATTCTAACCTTCTGAATTCCTCATCACCTCTATCTTTCTCCTTCTAAATTTATCTCACTGAATTATATTTCTTGAACAATATCTTCGCTCCCTAATCTTCTCCATTACTGCTAATACTTCTACAATATCTACCACTATCTGATTTTAGTTGATAGTTGCGTCTCTGTGCTAATTCGGTTTGGCAACCTGAACTGATGTACTTACGTACGAAGTTCTGCGTTGAATCTGTCTCTCTGTAAAATGTAACTTCCCCTCTTAACTCCAATCGATGAAAATAAACGTTATAATTCTTTAAGATATTATTATTACCGAAGGAATCGGAAGGTTGCAAGGTTCTTCTTATTCAGTATCGTTTGTGTATTGTTTTAATTTGTTGGTTTTAATCCATCAACTTAAATAATACTATTTCTTACCTCTTCTGTTAAGACCACTCTTCTTTTTATTAACTTTGTTCTTATGCGTGATTCACTATTTTCAGTTTGTAATACCGACTAGTCGAAACATGGTTTCTGTGAGTAGTATCTGACATATTGTTTTTTGCAGCAAAACGCTCATAGATGTATAACTATAGAGCCTGATAAGGAAATTAAAATATGCAGTTCCTTCAAATGTGCCTCACTTTGCATTACTTAATGAGGATTTTGCAATCAAAAAATATATACTACTGAAACAGGTACAAAGTAGTTAGTTTTTGTGTGGGAGTATTTGTTACCACTTAAGTCATGTTTTTATATGATGTATCCATCATTAAAATGAATTGAAATGATACTACCGAAGTGTAACATTATGGAAATATACAGTATGAATGAAAGTATTCTGTACATATGAGACTTAAGGTAGTGCTAAATGTACTGTGTCTAAAAGAAAACATCCAATTTCTTATAGGTAATGTTTTTTACTACATAGTGAAGCGCACAATACATTCGTGATATATAGATTTCAAGGGTGTATCATGTTCTGGTATTTATGAATCTTCATCTTATATCAAAATTCTAGACTACGATAAGAAGAAACTCTGTGTATTAGGCTATTCGGACTGATGTAATATGTCAACAAATAATCGAAGAATAAATTTTATAACTTTTTGGCTTAGTAAAACACGAAACACTTCATAGCATTAAAACCTGTAATCCAAACTTCGATATTAGTTTAGATTGTGACTGTTGCAAAACGCAAGTCCATATAAATCTAATCTGAGGATTTGCATATCCATCAAAATGATATCAGTTAGAATTTTCATCAAATAACTTAATGAAACATTCATCTATTAAATAATTTGTAACACTCACTTTCATGTTATTCTGAACACTACTTATTAACTACATGGAAGTGTTAAAAAAAACAAAGATCATATTTAAAGAAAACTTAACATGTTAGTAGTGTATTTTCCACTCATAAATAGCTAAAAGTTTACATGTGCGTGTGTGCGTGTGTATATATAATGCATAGATCAAAGTAGATATATTAAAATAAAACAAATGACTTTTGTATAATGATTATTCATGGTGTACACATTGTTTGTTTGTCTTTCATATATATAAAGAAGATCATAAGTAAACGAATTGTAATTAACTGATTAATTTTAGTCAGTGAATAATCAATGAAACTATCAATAGAAGAATATACACATGTGTTGTTTTTTTTTCATAGTTAATTTAATTAAGAAAATAAACAATGTACAATAAAACAGAGTATAAGGAAAGAAAGAAATGGGGAAAATGTATATTCATCATTTGTTCGCTTTATTCTTTCGGGTATTTCTTTTATTGTTGTTGTTGTTGTTGTTGGTATTATTACTCACATTAAATTCACTAGAAAATTATCCTTTTTTTCCAATTATTTATAATAAATAATTCTTTTTTTTTTTCTTCATTTCTTTCATAGAATATAAAATATTAGCAACTTGATAAAGTTTTTTTTTTCACAAGTAATTGTAATCTCTCATTTAGGATTTAGATATTATTATTACAGTGTCATTATTATTATTATTATTATTATTATTATTATTATTATTATTATTATTATTATTATTGTTTCTGTGATGTTAATATAAACATTAATTGTAGTGAGAAGAAACAGGAATTAGTGGAATAAATGTGAAAAATCCCACAGAGGTAGGGAAGAAGTTGAATGTACCAAAATGAAAACAAATAAATACATCAAAACAATTTTTGAAACCGTTAACAAAAAAAAACAAGGAATACACTTATATATATATGTATATATATGTATATATGTATATGTATATGCATAGTGATTAATTACATGTAGATATGACTACTGTTTTACGACATGTTTTACAGACAACTTTGCAACACCATTGAAATTTACAATCACATCGTTCTTGTTGAATAAATGTTTGTCGTTTAAAACCTCGACCACAACATAAATAATGACAACTATTTAAACCTTGAGAATTTTCATCACATTGACGTCCATATGTACCAATACTACCATAACGTGGATCATGATGACAAAATGTTGGTGATTCACTTATATAAATTAAATCATTTTCTGTTGGAGATGGTAAAGATAATGATGATGATGATGATGATGTTGAACTAGTCAATAAATCTAAATTATTTCGATTAATTCCTGATGATATTGCAGCTCCATTCGATGCTGAAGCTGATGATGATGATGATGCTGATGATAATAAAGTGGGTTGAGACAGTAAAAGTAAATTTCCATTCGATTCTTTATTTAATTGTTCTAATGCTTTAATGGAAACTAAACGATTTTGTATGTAGGTAACTTGTTTAGCTTCATGAAATCTTTCTTGTAATTGTGCACCTAAATTACGAAATTTCGGTAATGATCTCCAACATGTACGCATTTCACATGATCCACTGACACCATGACATTTACATTGAACTTCCATTTTATTGATAACCATCTAAATTAGAAATGAATTAAAAGAAAAATATTTACAAAAAAAAAATAAAACAAGTTACATTCAACGAAATTATTGTTCATTGGATGAAGTCACCTTTGATTGTTCGGTTATCTGACTCTGCGTAGTTGCCCGAAGAATAACTTAGCATGATAAGACTTTGAACAAGAAGAAAATTAATTAACATTTGAGTGATATCTGGGCAAGGACAAAAACTGATATCAGTTGAAGAACTGGTTGGATAAATATACTTATTTACAAGTAAATTTTACTGGCATTTATTGACTGTTTATCAAATATGATACAATAACTGAAATTAAATATGATTTTATGTTAGAATTATGCAACTCAAGATTATACTAAGTAAATATTACTCTGAATCAATATAATGAAATAAATAAATGAATGACTTAAAAAAAAAGGTTTCATTAAGTTCAATTCATTTCTTACACTGAACACAACACTATCATTTAGTTATTTATTTTGCTTTGAATACACATTCACTGTGTATATAAACTAAAAAATTTAATTGAAAATGAATTCAATTACTGAGTTAGATATTTTGGTTGTGAAGCTTTCATTGTTCTTCTTCTGAACAACATCATCAGCACAAACTACAGATATAAGTGAAGTATTTGAATTTCTCCACGTTTGACCTGTATAGCTTGTTCTGCTAACTTCGATCTTGATTGGTTGCTGTTGACCTTGAAACTGTCGTTATTTTCACCTTTGTGACATAGGATCAAGAAACGGATCAAAAGAGGATACAATCAAAACAAAGGTGAAAACAACGACAGGTTTAAGGTCAACAGTAACCAATCAAGATTGAGGTTAGCAGAACAAGCTATACAGGTCAAACGTGATGAAATCCGAATACTTCACTTACATCTGAAGTTTGTGCTGATGATGTTGTTCAGAAGAGCAATGAAAGCTTCGCAACCAAACTATCCAGCTCAGAGAACAAAATACCACTACAATCATCCAACTAGGCTACATATTTTTTTCACCATCTCAAAATTCAATTACATTTGAGTGAAATAACGATGAAGTTATCATGAAATTTTGAGCACATTAAAAAAAGTCCGTACTCATTCATTATCAAGAGAACAGTTTTTCATATAATCAACTATAAAATCTAAACAATAATTTCATTTGAATGTTATTTTTGTTAAAATGCCATATAAGCACGATACATGTTTCGTTAATTTTTGACTTGTACATTCTCAAATAATGCATACATCTGTTAGGAATCATGATATTGATTCATAATTTTTGATTAACATTGTACAACTAAATTCATCATTGAAAAGCCAAATTCGTTAATGTTTTCATATCATTAATCCCGATAACAAATCGGTTGAGTATTTTTAAAATAAGACTGAAGTAGTAGTAGTAGTAGTAGTAGTAATGGTCGTAGTGACTTTCATGAGCTTACTTATCAACGCGACATTATATTACATTCTTAAAATTATACCTCAGCCAGATTTGGTCTTTTAAAATCATCTACTACTTGTTCGTTCGGCTATTTTGCAACAATAATTTGATAAATAATAAGAATATTCTCAAAAAGATAGTTTAACTAAACTACTTATCAAATGGCCAGTATATTGCTTAATACTTCGTTTGGTATTATATTACGGCTGTCAAGTTTGAGATACGATACTGCAAAATGTAAATAGTTTGCTAATACTTGATCATATATGTCTTATCGGTTTTGTTATATTTGGTGAAACCATCAAAGGAACGATGCTGAGAGTAGGTTTGTGTGAGTTGATAATATAGTAATTTTCGGTCAGAGTTTTGGAGGTTTGTATTTATACACATTTGAAGTCATCAATCAATCATTGTTAGACCACCATTAGAAACCTGGAAGCACTAAACGGCCGTTTCGCCCTGGTATTGGAGTCATCATCAGTGCGCATCCACGACTGCTGCACCCCTCAGGATTCGAACCCAGGACTTTCGGTATTGTGCGCGAACGCCTAACCATCGGACCATTGGGCCAGCATCCAACGGTGTTAGTGTCTAACTGTGATTGATCTAGGGATTTTGCGCGACCTCACCCATTTGTCTTTTGTAGTTACTGCCTACACCCGACAGGGTTGAGCTCCATTGGTCACGTCCTCTCAACTAGAACTCCGAGAATTTCCTCACGAAGCTAGTCACTAGTAATTTACTGGTATTCATTGACTAAAACGAACAGTAAATGAGCTTCAAACTCCAATAGTGGTTGGTTGACAAAACAACAAAATCAAGCTTTTAATTTAGTTCATAAAGTTACGGATTCTTGTTGTTGTCCGTGTCGATGGGCGTAGATTCCCGTTGATCTGATTCACTCGACAATCTTAGACATTGGTTGAAAACTTTGGGTAATCTGTCTTAAATTAGGTCACAGTAACCTAAATACATTCATTCATTATTAATTTCCTAGTAATGTATTTCATTGTTGTTCCAAAACTTTGATTTCTCGTTTCCACGCATTCTATTGAAACTAAATTCTTTACTTTTGATCGATTTTCTATTTGATATCACTATTGGTTCGCTTCCCTTGGTTTCCTTTCTCCGTAGTGATGCAGACCGAGTTAATTGGCGTTGATCTACATCCGTATAAAATTATACGTTATTATGATTGATTGAATCTAAACTATCTGTTTTACACATAATCATGAAATTGTAAGTGAATTAACAGAATTTCAGTTTAACACTAAGTGATTTTTGGAAAATTTACTTATAGCCAGTGATTGATGAAAATAATTGACTTTTCCATCACCCTCTTGTGTATACGATAGGCATTTAATCTCTATTGTCAAACCAAAGGAAAATATTCCTCCCCCCCGCCTAGCATTTATAAACATACTATTAATTGGCCCTGGCGATAAGTACAATATTACTTGTTTCTATATTCTTTGTATAATCCCTATAAAAAAATTATTATGTAACATCCTATTCTCCCTGAAAAAATCAGTGTAAATACTTTATTTCATCAATTGTATCCAGTTAATACGAAGTTTCTTTTGTTTCTTACGTATTTCACACAATCCGTCGAAGTTGAAATGTCAGTCAGTGAAAATTTCACCCTGTAAGTTTCTATCTAGTTATTAACAGGTTAGAAAAATAAGTTAGATTAATAAAATCCATGTCAGAGATCTACTAGGTAGTGTTTTGGTTTTACATATTTCAATGTTTCTCTGTGTATGTAAGGGAGGGTAAAATAAGTGTTCAATTGTACTGTAAACGAACAAACTAACACATACACACACTGCATTCAATAAATGATTGGGAAGGAAGAGATAGTAGGAAAAAAAAATCTCATCAGGAAAGATCCATTTTGACGCCTATTTTAGCAAAATCCGCATACAAGTGTCAAAATGTACCTTGAATCTGACGTAATGTTTCTTTTTATTACAATTATCGAAAGGAAAAAATCATTTATTTCCCATCACAGATACTTATCAAAACAACCATATAATATGTATGAAAATAGAATTTAAGTAATGTTGATTTTGTTGTATATGAATATATATACAGATATGACTACATTAATCTATTGATATGATTAGTTAACCCCTAGATTAAAAATAATTTCCCACATTAATCAAAATTTTCTTCGGCAACCCTCATGGTACACAAATATATATATATATATATATATATATATATATATATATATATATATATATAGTATGATCTTTATGAATAACATGTGCACAATACCTTAACCACCCTACCCCCACTACACTCGTTATAATGATGGCATATATCTATTTAATCTTGATGATCATTAATCAAATTGCCTAGTTTACTCATTTTATCCCCATTGATCATCGTTTAGGCTTTGAAAAAAGCCAACAAAAACAAACAACTATAGTTATCCTACATAATGTCACTATTATTATTATTATTATTATTATTATTAATATTATTATTATTATTAGGGTGAACATTAGAATCAATTTCTAATAATAATATTAATAATAGTAATAATAATAATAATAATACACACCTATACAATATATATGTAGCGAATAAAAAATACTATAAATTATTTGATAGTTAATACTATAATGAAGTTATCTATTTAAGCGTAAGAAAAAAAAGGCAGACGAGAAAAGTTGTCGAGAATTGTGCATCAAGGTAAAAGAGAGAGAAAAGTTAAGTGTTTCATAGGTATTTTTCAAAGAATAAATTATTTATTATTTAAAAAAAAGTAGCATCAATTGTATGAAGAGAGAAATGGAGGAAGTAAGAAAAAAAATATTAAAAGTACGCTGACATACCTTAAGAGGGTAAAATAGTTATCGAAGTAAAGAAATTCTTGCAAAATAGTCAAATAACTATGTGTAATAATGTGTGTTAACTAAGATTACAGCTGGGCGAAATAATGTTACCATTAGTCTCGATAAATAATAACTGTGAAGAATGCAACTATACCTAGTTGTGTTACATGTAGTATTGGTTATAGAGAGTAGTCTGGTATGCATAAACACTTATCATGATATAAGCACTTCATGAAATGGCATTAGCATACCAGAGAAGGTGAACAGAAATGTTTGTAATGTATTAGAATTTAAAAATAAGTGATTAATATGTTCTACATCATTATGAAAATTTTTTAAAAATTAACAAGGTGAAATAGATAATCTTGTATGTAGAACAGCTGAGAAAACAAGAGAACATCGGAAAGCATGTAACAATTCTTTCGTTACATTATAAGATATTTTAGCAATATGTAACCATAAACATTACGCCGAGAAATGGAGACAGGCATGAGAAGAATGGATAAAAATTGGACAGAACTAGAAAGAGAAGCCCAGAACAGAGTTGGCTGGAGAAAACTGGTAGGCGGCCTATGTTCCATTGGGGGTAACAGGCGTAAGTAAGTAAGTAAATAAGTAATGTACCCATAAAACTTCTCAAGAAATCTAGTTCAGAATGGGTCTTGAAATAGATTTTCAATTTTTCTTGGGGTTTAGAGTGTTTTTTTTCCTATCACATAAAGTCGATTCATGATGAAAATGAAATTCCTATTCAATAGAAAATTCATAAAACCATTTAGACTCATTTTGTATTTGTTAATGACAGGTATTAATCTAACTAGATAAACTTAATCATGAAACTATTTTAGCTATTTTAAACAGTTCAAGTAGTAAAAATATTCAATGTCAGGTTATTTTTGTATACATTAATTGGGTCTGGTTTACTGAATTCACATTCATATCATTATAGCAAAAAGGATATCGAACTCATGCGATGAATTTGAGGAAATTAGCAGATATATAAATGTGAAAAATTTATCATAAAAATTATCCTCTTGATCATAATGTATTTTACATGAATCTGAACTTGAATATCAAATAACTATTGATGTGCCTAACATAAATATCTTTCAGTCTCTAGAAAAGAAATCGATCATAAAAATTTTACCAATTTTTTTTATCCTTGGACCACATAATTATTTACATTACGGGGCTGTGAAGATTGTTAAGTTACACATTTTTGAAACCATGAATCGATCAATGTTAGACCAGCATTATAAACCTGGAAGCACTGGACGGCTCAGTGGTCCGATGGTTAGGCATTCGCGCACAATACCGTAGGTCCTGGGTCCGAATCCTGAGGGGTACAGGAGTCGTAGATGCGCACTGCTGATGAGTCCCATACCAGGACAAAACGGCCATCCAGTGCTTCCAGCTTTCTAATGGTGGTCTAACATTGATCGGTTCGTGGATTCACATAATTATATAATGTGAATTATTGTTATATATATTATATTATATTATATATATTATATATATATATATATATATATATATATATATATATATATATATATATATATATATATATATATAATTATGACAAGCTGTCTCATTTCTACTAACTTAACATATTTCTCTATGAATCAATGTATAGCTTAATTTCATTTGAATTAATTTCACGCAGATTCTGGTTAGTCAGAACTAGTATGTTGAATGTACTATAAATGAATACTTCATTACGGTCAATAGTAGAAGCTGATAGTAGGATAAATTTCTAATTTTCATTTATTCTCAATATTTTTCTGAATTTGATACAAACTACTCTTCAGACATTTATTATTCATAGATTTTTTTAAAATCAGAATTGTGGTCATTACTATGTCAGAATTATGAAGATCAAGGTTAAATATACAAACTTAAGATGGATTTCTAGATATTATATTCATTGTTATGCTTAAAATTACTGTTAATAATTTGATTTGAATAAGATTTTCTTAAGCGTTTATCATTAAATTTGTTTTCATTACGAAATCCGACTGACACTGAGAATAACAAATACCTAACAGATTGTGTCTGATGTCGTTTAATATCAGTAGTACAAATCTTAAGTTGTATGTTAAATTTAACCCAAACTGTTTGGAAAAGGTTGTAAAAAAAAACACGAAACTAATTCATATTTCACAGTGTAACTTTAATTGAACCTATTATTTTAGACAAATTAAATAATTCCTCTTTGTTGATAGTGGTGTGAACTAGTATTATCAAAACTTGACGTATGACTTGTATGTCAAAATGAAGAAGTGTCTATATTGGTAGTCATAAATCTTATAATGGCTATGCATCCCGCTAATCATAGTGGCCTGCTTGAACATATTTGAGCCGCCTATTTCCCAACATCAAAATATTTCAACAGATTACTTCTTTCTGTGTATTTTAACACGTCAGTTGCATGAATTAATCAGGTTAATCTATTCAGATGCGTAAATTAAAACATTTACTACTTATCGCTTCACAGGGTACATAAAAGTACAATTCGAAACATTAAGGTAGCTGGCAATCTGCTGAGAAAATAATTAAACGTTCATAAGATGTCGATTCCTCAAGTGCTTAATTTTAATTGCCAATCACAAATTGTTCTGTAAAAGAAACCTGAAATATTGAAATATTCCGTGCTCAAAATTTCATATAATGAATAAAGCTATTATTATTATTACTGGCTACAAAAATCAATAGTTACACAAACTGTTTATCACCACGAAAGTCATTATTCATGCGACCTTAGAAAATTAATAAATTATCGTAATTTTTAAATATTTAATCAAAATTAACTAAAAGTAGATTATGGTTGCAGATTTTCTAATTTAATGGCTAGAATTCATTACTTATTCGATTGAATACAGTTATTCTTGTTGACAAGGAAAGAATAATTGTTTATGGAAAAGTGAACAAATATTTTCAGTTCTGTATTACAACTTCCATATATATATAAAGATATATGAACTTACATGCCTTCCTACATGATTATTATGTAAATTGGTTAGGCCCAATTTTGGATTACGCTTCAATCGGTTACGTTCACGTACATCAAGAAATTGTCTTGAAAATGCTGCTCCAAAATGTATGTTATCTGAACAACCGGACCATTCAAAATTCGGTTCTCTAGGATGATCATAAATTGTTCTGTCACATCCACAATTATCATGTAATCCGCTGCTACATGCTTTAGTCACTGCATGTGATACACCGGCTGATGTGACAGCTAAAACATAAGCCGACTCTCTTGTACCTATGAAAAAACACACAAATAAAGATAAAACATTTTTTAAAAAAAGAATCCAACGCAAAAAACAAACAGAATTAACTTTCTAAAATGTGATCATTGATAACTAACGATAATAATATCATGAGTTAATAATGAATAGGTCAAAATCTCGATTCTTCAGTTTTATTTATAGTCATTGTATAAAAATATCTGATATCTGTAAGCGACAAAAATAAACTAAAGTTTATTAAGTATGATATTTATTCAGATTGTTATTTTATAGGATGAATCATAAGATAGTAATTTCGTTCAGTTGACTAAATGTCCCATTCTGAGTTGTTTTAATAATGTTACTTATCCATTAAAGATAGTTTAGTTGCAGTACAGTAAAAGTCCTAGTATATTATTGTGTTTGTCGTGTTAGATTTATTTTTTCATGTATTTAATTGGAAACAATTATCTTTTTCAACTAACTTTCTAGGAAAAATACAATTGAACAAGATATAGTAATTGATTCTTTCATGTGTAATATTAATTTATCAACAAACATATATTCTTTACATTATGGGGTTGTAAAGATTGTTAAGTTACACATTTTTGAAACCATGAATCGATCAATGTTATACCATCATTAGAAACCTGGAAGCACTGGACGGCTGTTTCGTTTTGGTATGGGACTCGTCAGCAGTGCGCATCCACGACTCCTGTACTCCGCAGGATTCGAACCCAGGACCTTCGGTATTGTGCGCGAATGCCTAACCATCGGACCACTGAGCCGCTATCTAACGGTGTTAATGTCTAACTTGATCAATTCACGGAGTTGCGCAACCTCATACACAGACTTCGATAGTTACTGTCTACACCCGAAAAGATTGAACTTCACTGATCACGTCTTCCCACTCGAACTTGGAGAAGATTCCTCTATTCCTCTATTCTTTATTCGTGCAATTAAAAGAATGTAGTCAAAGTATATTATTCAACTAATGATGAAACTCTTAAGTGATTCTTTTTCTCTTGTCGATATATTTTACAATATTTTCAGTAGGTAATTACAAATTACAACTTGGGTGAATCGAAAACTATATATTATTCAACAAATCGAAATAAAATGATTTCTCACAGTGAACAGATTAATTTTGAATAAGCTGATATTTCAGATTTTTATGTATGCACTAGACTGTTGTATTGAATGTTACTTGTACCTTATATTTCATCAAGTTCTCATGAAATACTTCCTTAGTTCCCAACTATGGGAATTTACAAGATTGTTTTCTACAGGCAAAGATGTTTCATGCTTAGCTAAGGACATGATTCAGCAGTCTACTAGTTATGGTTAAAAAGACAAAATCATAAATTAACATGATGTTCCTGTTATATCTCTGAACTGATCAATTACATATTAAGCTTGAGTCAGCAGCTGAATTCCTATTGGCTTATGGCTTTCTGTCTTCTTTCTATCCTGGGGTTGAGTCTAGAAGTGGGATTCCAGACGTAATCATATATCTATTCCAGAAAGATCAGACCGTATCACACAATCAATAAAAAAATAATAGTTATAAATGAACAAGCTCAAAAGTGGTTATGAATGGGAGAGGTTGTTAATAATAGATTGTCAAAAAAACGGAAGTAGTGAATTGCGTTACAATAGTTGATGGTTCAAACGGGAGCTAATGTATATACAGTAATCTACTAACTAAATAATTATACAAAATAAATTTATATAATGACAATTAATGCTGGAAGTTACTGTTCCTTCAATAGTCATTCTGATACAACAGTTCCATGTCTGTTAGGTGGTTTTTAAAAGTTGACAAAAGCTGTCAATCATGGTTTTGCGCAAGTTAACACTTATTCAGAAGGCCCATCTGCAAATTTGAAGAAATTTATACTCATATGTGATTCGAACCCATATCGTGCAGTGTCGCGGTCGAAACAGGTGCCATTAGACCATTTGAGCTTCCGCTAACTTTCTGTAGGACTGTGACACCAAGTATAGGGTATCCTGATCCAACAGAGAGTGTCATGTTTACGGAGAATACAGATATGCGTTTGATAAAAATTTTCAAATGGTACAAAACTTAGTCTCTAGAACTTACTGCTAATTTTTTTCAGTAACCCTACACCATCCTAGGTTTATATAGACACTTCTATAATTTTTTTCCTAGGGTTTTGAGAAAATATTTTTCCGTATTGTGGAGAATTCTGAAGCTCGTTGGTAGGGTTCGAGTCATGACGAATATGATTATGGATAGACAGTTTAACACTAGCAAACTCCTAGCGAGTATTATCTTATCTGATACTAACTATCTACTTCATTCACATATTTTTCCTTGTTTATCTTCTCGTAGAACAAAACTCTAACACATTAAAATCCGTGAATACAAGCAAAAATATGAAAGCTTTATAATATCTTATTTAGCAAATATACCATACCATAAACATCTGGTAAGAGTTGACCAAATCAAATACTAGCATTCCTCAATATGTTCCCAATTAGAAATTGTAAAGTTTCTCACAGTATAAAAAAAATCAACAACAAACATATCATTTAAATTCTAGTTTATTTACTTATATACGTGTATATGTATACAGTGATCGGTTGTTTCTTGGGTGGTCCTGTAAATGAAAATTGTTGGAATATTCTATGCTGAGAATTCACATATTATAATACACATAACATATGATATTGCAGAAAAGCCATTATTTATCATGATCTCAACGAAACAACTATGTTAGTCCTTATGATAATCAAAAAGAATGGTATCGTTAACCAAATTGTGCACTGTAAATATTTCATGAGAAAAATACAAACTGAATGGATTTTTTTCTATACACCTTATGAAATCCACTTTTGTCTTAGTGTGTAACATTAAGTAGGTGAGATCATTCTTTACTACAATTTGGGGCTAGAAAATTATTGTATTTTCTCATTTCTTATTGTATTTGATGAAATGTTCATTTAAGTCTTATTCTGTATATAGTGTGTAATATTTAAAAGTTTAACATCTTTATTAAATGTTCAATGATCGGATACTTTAAATATTTCATAAAATTTTACAGTTTGAACTTGTGGAATTTATTAATATTGTTTTTTACAAATTTTTAGTTCATTTCACAAAATATTCATCCATCCTCATTGAAATATATTAATATTATCATTATTATATAGGTCTCAGTGATTCACAACAAAAATTCATTTGATTATTTGAATAGTTAATTGATTCTCTGTGTTTTACTTTTACATCAAATGAACATATGGAAGTAATATTAGTTGTTCCTACTTCATTATCAATATACTATTTCACATTATGTATCAATCTACTAGTTTAGTTATGTGTTAAATCATCTGTAATATAAATCATCTGGTTTGAAATATATTCAACTGGAAATGTTTAAATAAAATGCTTACTTTTCTTTTTATACTACCAGATGTTTTAAACGATCAACATTTCAATAAACATAAGAATTATATTTGCCCTATAGGTAATATTAAGATAAGAATTACTTAGATTCATATGATGATATTAGGAATAGCTTGAATATATGACTAAGATATAGAGCAATCAATCTTTAATTCTTAGGTGATGGTTTGAGTCTTGTTTTGAGTATTATATTCTGAGCAGCTAATAAATAATTATAGGATGGAACATTTTGTGTTATATGACATAACTATCTTCAGACTATCAATTCAAAATGCGACTGTAATAATTTTTTTAAGATCCAGTCTTGATTTTGGATGGTGTCTTTCCAGAACGATTTATAATGAATAGTTTTCTTTGCGGAAGTTATATCTTTCTGTTATAGTCTAGAGATCTGGTCACTATAAAACTTCCTAAAGTGAAAAAAATGACCAGTTTCTTTCTAAATACATTTTTAATACTAAATCTGAAAAGATCTATTTACTCGTTCATTAAGTAAGTTAAGTTTGCACACTTAAAAGTCTGTTCTGAATGAATTCAATATAATTTCAGGACTGTAACAAACTAATTCCATGCCTAACGCATTTCGCAGAATTCATCATACTCATTTTAAAGAATTCTGAGTAATGACCAGTAGAATACCTATTTGTTCTTATTGTAGAAAGCTTTAAATCCGCTTGCAGCCCTTCTAGGATTACTGTCCGTCACAATCCAGGATAAAGAAGGAGGATTGGGCATGGGGTCAGTAACGTCATCCAATAGAAAACAGCCTTGCTAAAAAAACGCTAACCAGAAAAATCATTTCAAATATTTGAATTCTGTTCTGCGAGTCAAAGTGCCTTCATTTAGGATGACATATAATGAAATCCAAGATTCCTCGGAAATCAAAAGTGAATGCGCATTCTGATATCTATAGCAATAATTAATATAGGCATAATGTGAGACACGGGGATGACCACCCAAGTAGCTGCGGGAATGACAACAGACAACTTGGTGGTGCTTGTAACAAATAATATCCAATATTGGACGCAAACTGGACAAGAAAGACTAGCTTCAGGAGAGTTGCTGTTGAATTCTGGTCATACATATATGATTTATTTCTGTATTCTATCTGCTCAAATGAATGCACATATTTTCTGACTGATATTCCAGAACATATATACAACTGATATAAAATGGAATTTTCTTGTACATATTTCACATTAGTTCGATAAATCTATTTGGTCATTAACATTACATTCTGGTATACAGTTATCATCAAAATTACATAAATTGTTTCCAAATAAATTTTCAAACATTTAATGAACCTATGTCTTATGGGAATTTCATTTTCTTAATTAAAACATTTAGAATATCACAATATATGTGTTTATATTAAATGAGAGGAATAATTTAGGCTAAACAGAAACAAATTTAAATATCATATGTCATAATTCTATTGTATCGTTTCAATTAAATGTTAAACTGAACCATCGAACTGTCAATTCAAAAACTATGGAAAAAATTAGAACATCATTATATGTATGTAGGAAAATATTAAAATATGATCAAGATAGTTTGTTAGTCAATGATAACAATGAAATCTATTGCATATAACAAAAATAA